GTCAGCCGGCCCCCCGCCCCTCCCCCCGTGCGCGGCGCCCCCAAATCCTCTTAGGGAGCTTCCGAAAATAGTGCGGGCCCCGGGGCCTGAGCGGCGCTCCCCTTGCAGATGCCCGAGGAGACCCAGCCTCAGGACCAGGCCATGGAGGCCGAGGAGGTGGAGACGTTCGCCTTCCAGGCGGAGATCGCCCAGCTCATGTCGCTCATCATCAACACCTTCTACTCCAACAAAGAGATCTTCCTCAGGGAGCTGATTTCCAATTCTTCTGATGTAAGTCCCCTGGTGGGGGGTGGGGCGGGGCGGGGCGGTGGTGCCCCCCCCCCCCCCCCAATCCATGTGTGGGACCCCGCCGCCTGTGACCGGGGGCCTTCCTCTGTCTGACTAGGCCCTGGACAAAATCCGGTACGAAAGCCTGACTGACCCCAGCAAGCTGGACTCGGGAAAAGAGCTGCACATTAATCTCATTCCCAGCAAGCAGGACCGGACCCTGACCATCGTGGACACCGGCATCGGCATGACCAAGGCCGACTTGATCAACAATCTTGGCACCATTGCCAAGTCGGGCACCAAAGCCTTCATGGAGGCTCTGCAGGCTGGCGCCGACATATCCATGATTGGCCAGTTCGGCGTGGGCTTTTACTCGGCCTATTTGGTGGCCGAGAAAGTGACGGTGATCACCAAGCACAATGATGACGAGCAGTATGCCTGGGAGTCTTCTGCAGGAGGCTCGTTCACAGTGAGGACCGACACAGGTAGGCACCTTCCAGAAGGTTGTACATCTGCCTGTGCTGCTTGGCCCCTGGATTCAGGTTTCAGCTAATGAGCATTCGGGGGTCTGGCTTCCTGGGTATCTCCCGAGGGTCATTGCCTGCAGGTTGAGACTTCCTGGCTGCCCTTCCTCGCACACAGCTAGCTCCCTGCTCCTCCTGCTTGGCTGGTGTGTAGAGCCGAGTTGATTTCTGTTGTTAGTACTAAATTGTGCCCTAACCTTTTGTTTTCAGGTGAGCCCATGGGTCGTGGGACGAAGGTTATCCTGCATCTGAAAGAGGACCAGACCGAGTACTTGGAAGAGAGGAGGATGAAGGAGATTGTGAAGAAGCACTCTCAGTTTATTGGCTACCCAATTACTCTCTTTGTAAGTGGCTGGCTATGCTTATAAGCTATGGAGTGTCCTATTTGAGCAACTCTGGCCAACTTTGGGAAAAGGAACTTAAGAAAGTTCCTAGAAAATGGGGCTTAAAAGAGAAGGCAATTTTCCCATAGACTTTATGAAGCTGCTCCCACCCTCCACCCGGGTATCGATCGTGTCCTAAGTTTCTGGTAGAGTTCAGAAATCTGGCAAGAGTAGGGTGTAACCAGGTATAGTGAAGGCCTGTGGGCCTCCCGAACAGGGCAGATGCACCTCATGCTTCTTGTATACAAAACAATTGCCTTTACGAGTTTGTGGAGCAATTAAATGAAAAGACCCTGCAATTTCCCCACAAGTCTGTAAAGGGCCCCTCTTCTGTAATCTGTACTACAAAGATCTTGAGAGTTAAACAGTCCTGGATTTTTGTGCATAACGGACTTGCCATCCTTGTAGTCTGAACTTAGCCTACTGTAAAGAGTACTGTGCTTCAGCTCGTGGGCAGCATCATGGTGCCCAAACAGCAAACCGTGCTAGTGAGAGCAGCAGCAAGAGACAGGACAAGTATCTGGAGAGAAGCCAGGGTTATGCCACAGAGTAGAGGTGAAAACAATCAGTAGGTGCTACTGCTTGCAACTCTGCTGTGGTGGACGTTAAGCAGCAGCATGAGTCTGGTTCATTGAAACCATTACTGGGTCAGTCTGGCCCTTTTGGGTACTAAGCAGTTGCGTGGCTACCTGACTCTTAGAGTAGTTAGAGCAGTCCATCACATTGATGAGAAAAGCTTTCTAACCACGTCATTGTGTCTGAGCTTCTGCTGACTGGAGCTCAATTCCTTTTAGCTTGTTTGTTGTAGAAAGCTGAGGTGCTAGAATTACGAGTCTGTATTAATTCCCAGGTGGAGAAAGAACGAGATAAAGAAGTGAGTGATGATGAGGCTGAAGAGAAGGAGGAAGAGAAGGTGGAAGAGAAGGAGAAAGAAGAAAAGGAGTCTGATGACAAGCCTGAAATAGAAGATGTTGGTTCTGATGAGGAGGAGGAGGAGGAGAAGAAGGACGGAGACAAGAAGAAGAAGAAGAAGATCAAAGAGAAATACATTGACCAAGAGGTCCTCAACAAAACCAAGCCCATCTGGACCCGAAATCCTGATGACATTACCAACGAAGAATATGGCGAATTCTACAAGAGCCTGACCAATGACTGGGAGGACCACCTCGCTGTGAAGGTGAGTGAGGAGTGAGGACTGAGTGCTTCAGAGATGGTCCACCTCTCGGCACTTGTCTGAATTTAAATCGGCACTGTTGGCCAGGTTATAAATTTGGGGGCGGGGCTGGGGTTTCCCCAGAGTCCTCTCTGTTGAAATCACTGTCAGTGTGGACTTTGTCAGCTTAAGAAACTACGTGAGAGTTTGCTGTGTTGTTTGATGAGTTTGTGTTGTTGTGCTTTTAATACAGCATTTCTCAGTTGAAGGACAGCTAGAATTCCGAGCCCTTCTTTTTGTCCCAAGACGGGCTCCCTTCGACCTCTTCGAAAACAGGAAGAAGAAGAACAACATCAAGCTGTATGTGCGCCGAGTTTTCATCATGGACAACTGTGAGGAGCTGATCCCGGAGTATCTGAGTAAGTGTGGCTGGGTGAGAAGAGCAGTCGCTGTCCCTGGAGCCAAGACGCGACTTCTCAAGTCCTGTGGCTAAGCTATCTGGGGTAGGGGGTGCACACTGGCATTTTCGTTTGTTTCTTTCTGGAGGACTTTCTGGTGGAAGTGTTGAAAGGGTCGTTAGTGCATTTACTCTTTGTTTGTTTTTTTCAGATTTCATTCGCGGTGTGGTGGACTCTGAGGATCTCCCTCTCAATATTTCCCGGGAGATGCTGCAGCAAAGCAAAATTTTGAAAGTCATTAGGAAGAACTTAGTCAAAAAGTGCTTAGAACTCTTCACCGAGCTGGCTGAAGATAAAGAGAACTACAAAAAGTTTTACGAGCAGTTCTCCAAGAACATTAAGGTTCGGAAACACGCTTTAAGCCCCTACCATGTTCAGGTTTTCAACCTGACTCCCTGTCTTATAGGGGAATGTTGTTTTTGTTTTTTGTTATCACACAGAAAGGTCATCCTTTGCTCATGTTTTTTTTCTAGCTTGGAATCCACGAAGACTCCCAAAACAGGAAGAAGCTTTCAGAGCTGTTACGTTACTACACGTCTGCCTCAGGGGACGAGATGGTTTCCCTCAAGGACTACTGCACGAGGATGAAGGAGAACCAGAAACACATCTACTACATCACGGGTAAGGAGCCTCAAGTGTTAACATCCCCTCTTGTTGTGGGCAGCCCCCCCCAGGTGTCCTGTGGGATGTGTTCAACCCTCCCACAGACACTGAACACAGTGGGTGGGGCTGGTCTTCACAGCCCGTGCTTGCCGCTGTCAGGGGGTCTTCCTGTTTGTTGGTCTGTCCGCCTGCCGGCGCTGGGTGGTAGCAACCATCCCTGAGACCTGTGCTCCCATCGTTGCAGGGGAAACTAAGGACCAGGTGGCTAACTCGGCCTTCGTCGAGCGCCTCCGGAAGCACGGCTTAGAAGTGATCTACATGATTGAGCCCATCGACGAGTACTGCGTCCAGCAGCTGAAGGAGTTCGAGGGCAAGACTTTAGTGTCCGTCACTAAAGAGGGCTTGGAACTGCCGGAAGATGAAGAGGAGAAAAAGAAGCAGGAGGAGAAGAAGACGAAGTTCGAAAACCTCTGCAAAATCATGAAGGACATCTTGGAGAAAAAGGTGGAAAAGGTGGGTCAGTTAGAGAAATCTCGGCCTGCGCTCTCTAATGCTTGGTACTTCCCCTCCGGTGCTGCTGCTCCTGCAGCCCAAGTCCCATATACAGCACGCCCATACCTACCACACACGCGTACACCCACCCCACTCCCGCAGTCACCGAGGGCAGTCTCTCTCACTCTAAAGACCTGCTCTACCCGAAGGTGGCTTGGCCACCAGGTTTGTGATCTGCGGATGGTTTTTGACTCATCTGTTAATTTTTCTTGTGCTCTGAGTGGGCAGTTAGAGGCAGCTTGAAGCTTGTGGACATGTGCAACACTGGTTGCACAGTCCTGGTGTATGAGCTCTCGCCCTGTCCATCTGTCAGTACTTGAAGAAACAGTTGGTCCCAGTCATGCTGATGAGCTAAACAACTCTCCACACCCCCACCCCTGCTCTTGCTTCCAGGTGGTGGTATCCAACCGATTAGTCACGTCCCCGTGCTGCATTGTCACCAGCACCTATGGCTGGACGGCAAACATGGAGAGGATCATGAAGGCCCAGGCCCTGCGAGACAACTCGACCATGGGCTACATGGCCGCCAAGAAGCACCTGGAGATCAACCCTGACCACTCCATCATCGAGACCTTGCGGCAGAAGGCTGAGGCCGACAAGAATGACAAGTCTGTGAAGGATCTGGTGATCCTGCTCTATGAGACCGCACTGCTCTCGTCTGGCTTCAGTCTGGAAGATCCCCAGACGCACGCCAACCGGATCTACAGGATGATCAAGCTGGGCCTGGGTAAGCTGGGCGGGACTGCAGCAGAGCCTTGGAATGGGGGCGCTACCTCCGGCTGATGAGGGGGAGCGCTGAGTGAGCGCTCGGAGGCGGTTTCTGAAGGTTCCATCCTTCCCCTTCACTCCATTTTCCCAAATGCTGAAGCCTCCCCCTCCTCTTTTCCCCTTGTACTTGCTCAGTCTGTGACAGATGGTGTAGACCAGCAGTGCTTGCTGACTTTTAGGGATTCATCCTAATAGGATTTTTTTCATTTTTCCAAAAAGGGATCGATGAAGATGACCCCACCACTGACGATACCAGTGCTGCTGTCACCGAAGAAATGCCACCCCTTGAAGGCGATGATGACACGTCACGCATGGAAGAAGTCGACTAAACGTCAGCTTACACACGTGTTCGATACTTACCTGCATTCCCTCTGATAATATATTTTCAAGGATTTTTTTTCCTTTATTTTTGTTAACACTTAAGAAATCTGTAAGGCATGACTATAACGGGGGGGTGGGGGGGGGTGGGGAGTAAGATAATAAGCTTTCTTTCTACATATAAGTGATACTGTGAGACTTTAGGCACTAACCAGAGTTAGTCATTCTGTTTGGCTTTCCCGTTGGCTTATCTAATGGGCGTAGGTGATAATTGACTTAAGGTATATGTAACCTAATGTTAACGCCATGGTCTAAAGTGTTAGCTATTAAGCAGATTCTTGGCTGACATTTTTGTCTGTGAAAAGTGGAGATGTGTGTACCTAAGAGACGTCTCTTCATGAAAACACCTCTGCTTTCATCTCCGAGGGCTTTGTTTCTAACCTGGCTCTGGCCCATAGTCACTGTGGTGCATGTACTAGGCCTTTAGAAGTTAGTGTTGTAACACTGAGCCACCTCAGTAGGGCTCAGTTATCCATGGGGCTTGTTTTCCAAAGAGTAAAAATGTTGTTTAGAGTTAGCAAAACCCCATGCCTACTTAGGCTACTGTCAAGGCAGCTCAAAGTCACTAGGCTAAGCATGTGAGTGGACATGTAGTGCCCAGATCACCTGCTGTGTCAAAAAGTGGTGGCAAATACAGTTATGTTAAAAAGAAGTGGTGTGAAAATGGCTTGTTATTTTGGGAGGGGTTGTAGATAAGGCGGGGTGGTCCCAGAAGGGACAAATTGTTTCCTCCTAGGAGGTTCCAGTGCAGGTGGGCCCATTGGAAGGAGGGAGATGTTTTAGCAATGCTCCAGGGGTGGGGAGCAGAGCAAGTCTGCTTGAAGCCTTAACACCTGGAATCACTTCTGACTTTATTGGGGGTGGGGGGAGCTAGGCATAAAGTGGTTGTGCAGCTAGATCAGTGAGCTTCAGTGGAGTGCAGAGCTATCTTAGCACTGGGGGGCGGGCGGGAAACGGGGGGGAGCAGGTGTGCTTGGTAAGTGCAGTGAAACCTGTCATGGGCCTGCCTTGCATTTTCAACTCAAGTTCCACCTCTGACTTGCCGCTGCTTTTCACCCACGCGTGGAAAGTGCTTGTTTTCCCCTGGCAGGAAGGCGGAGTCCCTGGTTAATCATAACCACCTTTAGTTCTCCAACCTCTGGCAATAAGGTCATCTCCACTCCCCAGCCCAGTCCTGGCCGCTCACTCATGTTTCCTGTTTCTCCAGGGCAGCTTGAGCTTTCATGGTAGAATTGGGATGAGAATTGAAGGCAAAAAGCCAGATTTGTTGCCATCAAGTCAAACTGTCCCTGTGAGTTTTCAAGAAGGCAACTCTAAGGAAGTGGGTGGAGAGTCCTGTCTGTCTAGCAGAGCAGCTGGTTCCAAACGGCCCAATTTGCAATTAGCCTAAAACGTACCTCTAGGCTCCTATTTATTGAAGGGCAAGTATTTTCTTTTTTGTGTCTAATACTAAGGTAATAAATTGGAGACTCCAAAAGCAGCAAGCATTTGAGGCAATAAGCCTTGAAGGACCTTCTATTTAAGGAATCCATTCCCCAAAGGATGGGCAGATGGGGGACATCTGGAATTGCATCCCATGATGGTGTCTGGGGCCACAGATGAATCCAGCTTACTTAGCTGGGAAGTTGAACTGTGACAATGCTACTGAAGGTGTCAACCTTATTATCTCACACAGCCTGACAGGCTCTACATGGAAGCCAGTTTTGCTCTGATGAAATCATCCCATCTTGCCAGAGTGCACCCATTTGGGGAACACATTTTAGTGCATAGCATTGAATTTTTTTTATTTTTTTTTATTTAACATCTGTTAGAGATCGGACAACATTGAAAAGTGAAGAGATAGCAAGTTGGAAAGGAGGTGGGGAGATGGTGGGGCCCTCACACTGCTGGTGGTAATGGAAGCTGGCTCACAGCCAGGTTGCAAAGCAACCTTACCCTACTTGAGCTAAACAGAATTAGTGTTTGGCCCAGTCATTGTACTCCTAACATGTACATCCAAGAGAAAAAGTGATGGGTCCACACAGCTTTTGTGTGTTCTACTTTCTGTAGCAGCAGGCTTCGTTATTGCTAATTTCCCCTAACAAAAGCAACCAGTGCACACCCCTGTTCACTGCAACACTTCGCAGGAGCAAGACGTTGGGCCTAAATGCCCATGAGTAGCAGGCGTGAACAAGCTAATATTGTTTCACTAGAAAACCATGAAACACTTCATGGCAGGGATGGACTTGGAGAACTTTACGCTGTAGTTAGCCAATCACAAAAGGGCACGTATTATATGAGACTACTGTTTAAAGTTGGTGGGGGGTGGGGGCGGGCGGCGACCAAGATAAACACTTCTGTTTTTTTGTTTTTTATGGATTCTTTTTTTTTGTTTTGTTTTTGTTTTTTTTTAACATTTTATTAGGGGCTCATACAACTGTTATCCCAATCCATACACACATCAATTGTGTAAAACGCATTTCTACATCGTTTCTCAAAACATTTTCTCTCCATTTAAACCCCCCGACATTAGGTCCTCATTTTTCCCCTCCCTCCCCGCTCCCCCCACCCGCATGAGCCCTTGATAGTTTATAAATGGGTATTTTGTCATATCTTGCCCTGTCCGACGTCTCCCTTCATCCACTTTTTGGTTGTCTGTCCCCCAGGGAGGAGGTCACACACAGTTCCATGTAATCGGTTCCCTCTTTCCTACCCATTCTCCCTTTACCCTCCCTGTTTTGCCACTCACACCACTGGTCCTATAGGGCTCATCCGTCCTGGATTCCCTGTATTTTCAGTTCTATCTGTACCAGTGTACCTCCTCTGGTAGAGCCAGTCTTGCAAGATAGAATTCGAGTCATGGTAGTGGGAGCGGGAGGAAACCTTTAGGAACTAGAGGAAAGTTGTATTTCTCATCATTGTTACATCGCACCGTGACTGACTCATCTCCTCCCCGAGACCCCTCTGCAAGGGGATCTCCATTGGCCTACTAATGGGCTTTGGGTCTCCACTCCGCACTCCTCCCCTCATTCACTATGGTAAGATTTTTTTGTTCTGATGATGCCTTACACCTGATCCCTTCGACACCTTGTGGTTGCATAGGCTGGTGTGCTTCTTCCATGTGGGCTTTGTTGCATCTGAGCTTGATGGCCGCTTGATTACCTTCAAGCCTTTAAGACCCCAGACGCTATACTTTTTGATAGCCGGGCACCATCAGCTTTCTTCACCACATTTGTTTATGCACCCATTTGCCTTCAGTGATCTGTTCGACACCCCATGATTACACAGGTTGATATGTTGTTCCATGTGGGCTTTGTTGCTTCTGAGCTAGATGGCTGCTTGTTTACCTTGATAAACACTTTTGTTCCTAGAGAAATGCCTCCATGAAACTGACAAAGTGTCCGGGAACGAGAGGGTAATGACAATGTGTGTCCACAGAGAAGGGGCTATTGACCAATAAATAGGAATGAAGTACAGTTACCAGGATAAGGCTTGGATGAGCCTTGAGAAGGGGCTGCATGGAAGCAGCCAGACACAGGACAACACACTGATGGGAAAAGTACAAACCAGCCCAGTCCACACAGACAGCAGATGGGTGGTTGCCCGGAGCTGGGGCTGGGGGCACAGCGGAAGTGACTCATTGTAGGCAGGGTTTGTTTTGGGGGTGATAAGAATATTCTAGAATTTGTGACAACAGTTGCTGGCTACTAAAAACTTTAAAACGTACACTTAAAGGGGTCTGTCTGGAGGCTGAGGGGAATTGGGGAGCAAACAAGATGGGAAGGGGGAGGGAGCATTAGAACGGATTGTGACGATGTACACAACTCTTGAAAAGTGATTTAAGTATGGGGTTATCGGATAAGTGAATGTTATGTCAAGAAAACTACTTAAAAGTATACTTCAAATGGTGGATTGTGTAGAATGCCAAAAAGCACCATCGAGCTGATGCCGACTGTTGCTGTAGGACAGAGCAGAGCCGCCCCATGAGTTTCCAAGGCAAGTACTTCCATCTTTCTCCCAACAAGCAGCTGGTGGTTTCAGACTGCTGACTTTCTGGTTAGTAGCCCAAAGTGTAACCACTGTGTCACCATGGCTCCTGCAGAATGCCAATTATTTCTTAATAAGGCTTGTTTTTGTTTTGAAGGGGAGGCAATTACTGCCAACATGCGTGGCCCATCAGGCCGCTTCAACACTGAATGCTACAGCAGCTCGTTTCTTTGAAACGAGGAGGAGGGTGTCCTTGTCCTGCTTTGATAAATGAGGAGGCGGACAGTCAGAGTGGCCCCACAGCAAGTAAGAGGTGGGGCCAGGAACAGACTATATCTCCCACCACCCACTTCCTAAGTGGATTCAGTGTGGTCTGGTGTTCCTCACCTCTTCTAAGCCCCACCTCCAAACCAGCTTCCCCATTCAAAGTGTGTGATTGGCGAACCTGAGGACATGTGACCCTGACCAGGCTGCGAGGCAGTCTGGGAAAACCAGCTCCGGCCTTTTTATCTTCTGTACATAGAAACCAAGGTGGCCTGGTGATTCAGTGGTGACAGACTCGACTGTCAGCCTCGATAGTGATGGTTTGAACCCTCACTCCAGCCCCTCCACAGAGGAAAGACTTGGCAATCCGCCATAAAGATCACCCCAGAGGGTGTGTTCGGCCGGGGTGACTGGAGAAGGGAGACACTTACATAGGTGTAAGAGAGCGCTTTATCTCAAGAAGTAGTTGTATATCGAGAAAACATCCCAGTCCAGTCCAGATCAAGTCCACAAGTCCGATACTAGTCCTTACGATCCTCTTCAGACACCCTGTAGCTACAAACTGATGTAGAAGCAGGGCTGGTGGGTGCAAAGGCTTGTGGGCTGCCAGGTCTCCGTGTAGCTCATCAACAGGAAGGTGAAGGCGAGAGACCTGTCTGCCTCCAGAGAGACATGTAGCTTGGCACCTCCAAATGAGGTCATCAAGCTGCAATCTGATTGACAGGCTAAGCTCCACCCATATTTAGGGGTTCCGTGTTGGCACAAAAAAGCCTATCACAGAGGAGTTCTACCCTGTTA